ATCAGATATCAAATGAAAGATGCATAATATGTCTTGCATATCATACATAAAGTAGTTTAGAGCAGTTGAGATAAATAGAATAACAAGACTAGAAGAACATTATCTCATGGTAAACTACATGTGCGTGTGTATTTAATTGTCTTAACAACCCTCATTTAAGTTTATTCCCTGTTCAACAGGAAGCCCTGAACTTCTTAAGCCTTTCTTATACGAAATTTAGGACTATAAAAGCTTGCAGCTGAATTCCCAAGCACGTGCAGAAGGATTATAATATAAATACCTAATGAAAGGAGCAGGATTGCTGAATTCCCAACGCACGACATTGCCCCATTGGTTAAGCTTCAAAGATAAGTCCCTGTGACTTCTAATCCACTTAGAATAGTATGGATACATAACAGTCTCACTTGTGGGACGAATTGCAATAGGAATCTCCAGTTCACTCTGACCTGAATTTGTAACCCATGCAACCTAAAATAGTCATAAAAAATAGAGATGGAATGTGTGTCACAAAACCAGGAAAATGTATACATTATTTAGAAACCCAAATAAAAGAACACATAAGAATTGAAAGAAAAGCATAACACAAAACAAACATTCATGCACAATAGAACCATCTGTGCACTTATACACACAAACAACACAAGCAGAAATATATGCAAAAGTTCCATAGTTGCAACAAAACATCTAAGAAGACCCGTATTAAATCAGATGTGGAGGAACTACATGAAAGATGTTAACCCAAGAATCCAAATTTTAATCCAAAAATCTAGTATTTGACTATTAAAAAAAGTCCAAGTTCTAGTCGGAATCCTATAAAGTAAAAATTCTTGGACGATTATTCTTCCTAACCAACTATCCTGAGCCAATAACACCCCATAAGAGTTTCTCAATGAGAAATTCTAATTATAGTTAATGTATGAGTTCATGTGAACTATAACATAATAAACATCCTACTTGTACGCACTATATAAAAGTTAACACCCAAAAGGCATATTAATAAGTGCTTAAAAATATCCAGACAGTACTATGTATTAATATCTCAAACAGTTGCTATGCATCAGCTCCCTTTAAACCCGCAAAAAGAGATTGTTTAAGTAGTTCCACGGCAAAGGGACATTCTCAGTTACAAATAGTGGAAAGTAGCAATTCTTAACTTTCATCTTCTTTATTTCTTCATCAAAGAAATCCTACCAAATTGAAGTATTTATAAAGATAAATCTGTATGACATATGGTGACCTGTTTATTCATATTTTCTAATTAAAATATCCCGAAACCAAAACACCATGCTAATGTAAGGAAAAGTACAGTATTGGTTTGTAATTATTGCAGTAGCAAGAGATGAAATAACCAGTTATCAAAAGAAATATTAATGTTGGTATGAGGGTTATGATGTTTTGTAAATAAGTAATTTTTTCCTTTAGTTTCTCGTAGTTAAAAGTGTCAATGGCTGTCATAATTATACAATATTCCATCATAATAACAAGTTTTAAGCACAATAATATGCAAAATCTAAGCACTCACTTGCATGCTTTCCCAAATTGCCATTGTCCAAGGCCTTAGTATATAACATCCAGAAATATCATAATATTCGATCATATCACCACTAACAACCACCTGAAAATAAAAATAAAATTGAAAAATAGGAAGTTAGTAAAAAAAAATCAGTAAAACGTCCTGTTCAAAATATGAGAAATATGCAATAATACCTCAGAATGCCATTCACCAAAGTTTTCATCTTTCTTAAACCTCATCCCAAGTCCTGTCTCTTTCTTCACTTCCTTCTTCTTTCTTGCGGGTAAAAAAAATAAAAAAATCAAAATTTCAGAAGAAAGATTATTGAGCCGAAACAATTGGGATGGTCGGCGAACAAGCGGAGGTGTCGAACGAGTGGAAGTGAAGGAGAGGCAGCAGGCGGAGGGAGCCAAGGAGAGGAGGGAAACGCTCGGCTGGTGGCGCCTGAAACCCTCGGCGGGGGCGGAGGGATCAGATCCGGAGGCGACGGGGGTGGAGGGATCAGATCTCCGATGTACTCGGGCGGCGTCAACGATGGCTATGAAGGCGCCACCGTCGAGGAGGACGAATTAGAGGGGGCGGGAGAGGAAGGCGTGGACGAGGAGGAAGCTAGAGAAATTTTGAAAGGGAGGGTCTTGGAAATTTTGAGCGTGTTTGAGGAAAATAGAAGGGGGGGAAATTTTAGAAGCGGGGTTTGGAAAATTTGGGAGCCCGCTCAAACAAAAATAGAGGATCTAGACGGAATTGACGGAATATGGTGGACGAGCCTTTTAGCGACGCAGATGAATAAAAAAGTATCGTAAAAAATAGACCTTTTAGCGACGCTAACCTAACACGTCGCGAAAAAGAGACTTTTAGAAACTTTAATGTAACACGTCGCGATAAATGCATATTATTAGCGACGCCAACCCTAAAACGTCACTAAATATATATATTTTTACCGACAAAAATGAAAAACGTCGTAAAATCCATACATTTTTACCGACGCTAAGTTAAAACGTCGCAAATAATATACACTTATAGCGACGCTAATTATAAACGCGGGGAAAAATATATGTTTTGCCGACGCTAACTAAAATCGTCGGGAAAAACATGATTTTTGGCGACGTATTTAACCAAGCATCGGGAATAAGCGTGGGGAAAAGTACAATTTATTGTAGTGTTAATAGCAATTTAACATTTTGAACAAAATCATTTAAAGAAGTTACATCTGTAGTTAATGCTTTGATAGGCAAAAATTGTAAAAATAGGAGACATCATTCAGAAAGTTGTTCTCCAGGGAGAGAACAGAATGCATTATAGAACACAGGACTGGTATGAATTGTTGACATACTCAAACTTATAAATTTGTAATACCTGTTTAAATATGGTACTGGTTCCTGATCCATCATATCCAACCAACAAGAACTTTTGAAGCATTATTTGCTCAACAAAAAAGGAAATGCTCCATTAAGCATGTTATTCACTTCTTTACCGGAGGGATTTTCACCCTTACAAGGAACTGGCAGTGACAGAAAAGAGCATAGAAGCTTGGTTCTAGCCTGTTCAAACAAATAGATCAGAAAATTTTACCTCAACTTAATCGAAAAATTAAAGAAACGCGGTAATTTATTAAAAGCATGACCATGAAATTACCTTGCCCCATAACTTCCCCTTTACATTTTTCTGTCCCTCCTCCCGGTATGATCCATCAGCATCCACCCAGAAGTGAGGACTTCCGGCACATTTGACTCCTGCCCACTGGGATACAACCACATCCATCAAGATTGCAGGAGCTGGCATCGGTAAATGTAAATACATTATATTTAGATTGCATCTGCAGCTCAACTTTTGTTATCTCACGATTATTTATCATGACACCAGTATTCCCATTGCTTGCGTTTTGCATCAGACAACCTCCCACATTGAGGTTTACAGTAATTATCTTGTCAGGTTTATGCATTGCTTGCGTTTTGCATCAGACAACCTCCCACATTGAGGTTTACAGTAATTATCTTGTCAGGTTTATGCCCTTCCTGTCAATGTGAAAGAAAAACAATCATTCCCACAAATTATCAAGCTCAGAACCTTCATAATCCTTATCATGTATGACACATTACATTCTGGAAGCAAGAATCGATGTTAAGCTACTCATCCAAATTTTTACTTATTTTGTGGGGAGTTCACAACATCAAAGTAACTGAACAGTATTGTGGCCATAAATTAATTTCCTGTAAGACTGCATTGCCAACATATTTCTTATTGTGTATCATATTTGTTCAAATGTTAAATTAAAAACTTACATCTGCAGTCAGAACAAATAAAATTCTCACCTTTCCCCAAAATCCCGACACCTTGTCGTACCAGTAAAACCCAGGCTTCAACCTCAGCGACGGGCACTCACAACTCTACAACAAGACCATCTCCTCCTGCGTCAACTTCTGCCGATTCACATAAATATCCTCCGCCCTCAACTGATTCTCTTCGCATTACCTCTCAGCCTTCATAACCTGCCCAACCTCCAGCGAGCTCAGCAGCTTCCTTAGCAACCTCGAGATATTCCCCAACTTCTCTGGCTTCGAATCCTCAATCGGGCTCCCACTGCAACCCACACACTTCCTCCCCTTCGGCATCGAACCCATAGCTCTCAAAACGCAACTGCTACAATACTTTGTGTTGCAAACCAAACAAGCCTCTTTCTCAGTGAACCAGCTCCCCTTAGAGCACCCCGATAGCAACAACCTCTCTTCACTCTCGGCTCTGATCTCGATGAGGTCTCTCGAAAGGAGACAACCGAGGTCGGCTTCTGGTCGAGCTTGCCATCGTCGTAGGACTCAAAGTTGTCTTCGTCGTCGTTGAAGTCGGAGGTGGAGGAGTCGGTGGCGGCATTGAGCTCGCTGGAGGAGATGAGATCGAGATCTTGCAAGGGTTTGACAACGGGGAGAGAGTGGAGGGGAGGGGCTGATGTGGAAATGGAGGCCGAGGGGGGGGGATGGGGGGAGAGGATGGAGTCGACGATGTCGGGGATGGAGTCAGGAATTTTCAAGGAGGCGTCAGGCGAGATTTTCTCTCCCTCTCTCTCATTTTCTCTCCGTTTGAGTCGGGAAAGGGGAAGAGAACTGAGAATAGGCAAAATGGTTTTGTAGAGGCTTGCTGACATATTGGTATATTTTCTTTTAGTTTTGTCAGATTGGTATATTTTGTCGACTCCGGCGCCATATAAGCCTTAAGTTTGGCCGGAGTTACTGTTCCGGCCAGTGGTGACGGGATTTCTTACATAAAACCCCCTCATTAAAACCTCATCATGCTCCTAACCCCCTCCTCCTCCTCATCCTCTTCCTCCTCTTTGCCAACTGCACCCCAATTCTCAAAGACCCTGTCAGCTTTTCCACCCAAATTGCCCCCAAAACCCTCCAACTTGCCCTCTTGAACCAACCCCAATCCTCCCAATTACTCAATTCAGCAAAGGGAGCCTGAATTGCTCGCCAGAGTGAAGAACCGGAATGTGATGAGCTTAAGGGCCTATGTTAGAGAACATGATCGGTTGTTTTTGGTGTACGATTATATTGCCAGTGGGAGCTTGGAGGATGCAATGAAGAGGGTGAGGTCAGGTCAATTGAGCCTTGGATGGGATGCAAGACATCGGATTGCAGTTGGCATTGTGAAAGGGTTGAGGTATTTGCACCTTGAGTGTAGCCCAAGGATCTTGCATCATAGGTTGAAGCCAGGGAATATGATTTTGGATGTGGGTTTTGAACCGAGATTGGGGGATTGTGGATTGGGGGGATTGCTTCCTGCTCGAGTCGATGCTTTGGGTTGTGAGTGTTATGCTGATCCAGAGTGCTTCCAGAGTTGCAGGTAAAAACTTCAAATGTTATTAGCGTTCCTCATCATCAAGCCCATGATCCCAACCCAAATTTAATGAGGAGGAAGAGGATGATGAGGAGGGAGAGGGGGAGGTTGAAGAGGATGAGGAGGAGGGGGAGGGGGAGGAGGAGGAGGGGGTTAGGAGCATGATGGGGTTTTAATGAGGAGGTTTTATGTAAGAAATCCCGTCAGCACTGGTCGAAACAGTAACTCCGACCAAACTTAAGGCCTATATGACGCCGGAGTCGACAAAATATGCCAATCTAACAAAACTAAAAGAAAATATACTAACATGTCACCAAGCCTCTACAAAATATACCAATCTGGCCATTTTGCCACTGAGAATATATGGGACTTTCTACGGTGATTTTAACATTTACTTTCATTTTCATTTTCTTTCAAACCAAACAAGGGAAATATACTTTCTATTGCACTTTATTTTCCTTTCCTCTACTTTCCTTCAAACCAAACAGGGCCTTAGGGTTTTGTATCCCCAATTTTTTCACTCATGTAACCCCTTGGACTTTGGGAGTCCTCACAAAACCTCTATGTAGTTTGCATTTATCTCATTGCTACATGCAACGTGCAAATAAGTAGAAGCAGGATTGATATGTTGCCCATCGGTGACAAATAGGCATGTCCACTCGGGTCCAATGTCGGGGCTCGACCCATGAAAGATATGTTGCCCATCGGTGACAAATAGGCATGTCCACTCGGGTCCAATGTCGGGGCTCGACCCATGAAAACCCCGAGTTTCCAAGCCAAACCGAGCTCTGAGCCCGTGTCTAGAATAGCTCAGTGCAACCCGTATCGGGCCCAGGTCCGGGTTGGCTCGATGCAACCTACCCAGGCCTGGCCTGGCCCGAAAAATGGCAGGGCTAGAGTACCTAGGTTTGGGTCTGGCCCGAACCCGACCCGATCGAAGCGATAAAAAAATGACTGTTGGACTAGGTGGCCTAGACCCGACCCAGTCTAACGGTCAAATTTCTGATCATTGCCTAAAACGGTTATTATTAATCAAATCTAAAAAAGAAAACTAATCGGGCTAGCCCGGTGTCTAGCCCATTCGGGCTCGGACCTAGCCCGATTGGACCGGCCTAGTGACAAGTAACTAGAATGTCTGAGGAAAAAAACCCTTCAATTAGGGAGGAGGGGGGTATGTTCTCTGCAAATGACAATTAACTAAGTTTAAAACTTTTCTAATAAAAACTCATTTCTCGAACATGATCCTTTACCTCGCCGGCATGGGGATCTCCACCTCCAAAGGAGATCAAAGCACGACCGCCAGCGACGAGTAAGAAGGTGACACAGACTAGAGCGTCTCCCGATGGTAATCACTCTCCTTCTTGATACTTTTCTGTTCATACGAACTAGCCTGTTAGATTTGAGAGATGTGTGATTAGACGATGGTTGATCATGATTTTTGATGAACTGATGACTGGATATTGATGTGAATCTATTGCCTTTTTTGTTTTTGATGATTCATAGTTCTTGATGAGTAACTGAGAGTAGATTCATATGTGCTCTTGATCCAAACTCTTTTGACTTTCTTGATAGTTTTGCTTAATGAGTTGATGAGCACCTTTTTAATTTGATTCTTTTTCTAATAAAGGTACTACTTCTTGATGATATTTCTCCATCTGATGGCGTTTTTTTTGTTTCTTGATGAGTTTTCGTTGAATTGATGTGACCTCATGGACATGTTGACGATTGTTCTTTTAATTAATTAGTGGTGTGTTTATTTGATGAGAGGTGATTGTGTCTTTTATATTGTTTTTATAATAAGATAAGTAGTCTGTTGGATATGAATGAGATTAATTATGGTTAGCCTTGTGATTTGAATAAGTACATACCAAATTTTACACAATATATATTCAATTCTGTTTTATGACATGTGCAAATTGGGGGGGAATGACTAGTGGTCTAAATTATTTGAAGTAGTACCTCAGAGAAATAGAACAATATTTATATTATATGTACTTGTCGTTTAGTAGGACGATATGACATTATATATGATCGATTTAAGCGTTACTTTTTGACATATGTGTATCATTATGTACAGTATATCCAATTATTATTATTCGAACAACATTAACAACATAATCATTTTGATATAACTTTGATCCTTGAATACCTTTTTTATTTTTATCATTTTGAAATAGGTTAGCTCTGTTTCGGAGCTTCTAATTTTATCAGTTTCTTTGTGCTAGATTCTGTGAGGAATGTATAGCTCTTTCTTCTTTTTTATTATTTTTTATCTTAAAGGTTTTGTTTCGAGCACGTTTACAGGGTTTACCGTAAAAAGACGTGTATGAGATGCGTTGATGAGGGTTTTCCCTTATCAATTGTGGTACTTAGTCTGTACGGAGTCTGTACAGAAATGTTTATTTTTTTATATATTTTATATAAGAAGGTCTCTACACTGGAGAACAATCCCGCTCCCAACCTCCTCCCTAATCCAAAACTAAATTTGCTTACTTGTTACTGGTGAGAGTTCACCGAGTTGCTTATCGTATTACATAAAACACATATATTTCAGCATCAAATCATGTAGAGTTTTTTGCATATACACATCTTATGTCATGGTATTTACAAAAATACCCCCCGCGCCCAACCCAAATTCGAATTTGCAAAAACTTAGGGTATCTATCCGGGCCAGGCTAAATGGACCTACCTGGAGCGCCGAACTCGGGTGTACGCAGCTGCAACACTAGGTCTGGGTCCTAGGCAGTTCCATGGTCGGGTAGGTTTTCCTCTCTTTTTATTCATTTTTTGCAAAAAAAAGTATATTTTTTGGCGAAAAATTACTTATAACTTTTGGCAAATATATATATAATATATAAGTATATACTATATATATAAAGTGTCAGCATATATGTATATATGTATTGTGTGTGTGTGCAGCGCCATATATATATATAATATATATATATATATATATATATATTATATATATATATATATATTATATATAATAATATTGAGATTAATGAGTATCCTTGCGTCATAGTGTGAGGGGGATTTCCTCGCTTGACGCCTCTAAAAGTTACAATGATTGAGGCAGCATTAAATGGATGATCCGACTCCGTTTGAACTTGATCTACATATTCTAAAACCCCAACACACCAAGTTTGGGGTGAATTCGTACGTCGTTTTGACCCTTCCATGCGAGCGCATGTGAAAAGTTCTATTCATTCAAAACCGTTAAAATTGATGACGAGTGGATGAAGGGGTCAAACGAGGACGGTTCCACACCAAACTTAGTCGTGTTGGGGTTTGTAGAATATGTATGGATAGCAAGTTCAACGGAGCGGTCAATCCAGCAATATCGGCTCAATCATGTGATTTTAGAAGCGCGTCATACGGAGGAAATCCCCCTCCTATGACAAAGGATACCCATTAGATCTCTCTCCTCTATATATATGATACCTATTATATGATATATATATATATATATATGTGTGTGTGTGTGCGCGCATATATATATATTATATATATATATATATATATATATATATATATATATATATATATATATATATATTATATAAATATATTATTTTCGAAAAGGTTATCAAGTGATTTTTCTCAAAAAATGATATTTTTGAAAAAAAAGGAAAAAAGAAGAAAACCTAAAACCCACGGTCTGGAAGTGCCTAGACGGCCATACTTGGAGTTTGAGCTGGTACGACCCGAGTTTCGGGTCGCGGGTGGTCCTTTTGCCTGGCCCGGATGGACACGCTTAAGTTTTACAAATTCGATTTGGGGTGGGGGGGTATTTTTTTGTAAATACCATGAGCATAAGGTGTATAATATGCAAATAACTCTACATGATTTGATGCTGCAAATATATGTGTTTTATGTAATATAATAAGCAAACTCGTGAACTCTCACCACTAACAAGTAAGCAAAATTTAGTTTTGGATTGGGGAGGAGGTTTGGGGGATTGTTCTTCGATTCGTGTAGAGATCTTTCTATATAAAGATACATAAAAAATTAACATTTCTGTAGCGACTCCGTACAGACTAAGTAAACCACGACGATAAGGAAAAAACCCTACATCAAAACAGCATCTCAGACATGTCTTTTTCGATAAACCGCTATAATGTGTTCAAAAAACAACTCAGAACAAAACTTGAAGATAAATAATAACAAAAAAAGAAAAGCCTATACATTCGCTCACAGAATCTAAGCTCAAAGAAAGCTGATAACATGCAGAAAGCTCAAGAAACAGAGCTACCTATTTCAAAATGATAAAATACAAAAGGTATTCAAGGATCAAATGGTATATGCAAAAATGAATTATGTTGTTAATGGTTGTTCGATATAATAATGATTGGATCTACTGTAAATAATGATCAGCATATGTCAAAAGTACACTTAAATCGATCTGACATAATGTCAATTTCTCGCGCAATTTGGCACAATGTCATAGAAAGCAGAATGAATATATATTGTGTAAAATTTGGCAATGTACTTTCTTCAACCAGCAAAAACTAAACATAATTAATAATCATCTCATGGCATATCCAACAGAGTACGTACGCTTATTATAAAAAAGAATATAAAAGAAGCACAATCACGCTCTCATCAAATAAACACAGATCAGCTAATTAATGTAAAAGAAACAATCCTGCAAGCATGTGGCCATGAGGTCCAAATGCAATTCAACCATAACTCATGCAGAAAAAAAAAAACGACCATCCGATGGATCAAGAAGTAGTAAACTTTATTAGAAAGAGAATCTAAAAAAGGCGCTGCAATTCAACTCGTTAGCAAACTATTAAAGAAGCGCTCAATAATAGTTTGATCAAGAACGCGAGACCGGACCTACTCTCAGTTACTCATCAAGAACTATGAATTCGTCAAAAGCAGAAAAGCGCAACAGATTCACATCAATATCGCAGTCATGGGTTTCATCAAAGAAATCATGACCGAGACTATCGTCTAATCAAACATCTCCCAATCTAAGCAGGTGCCAGTTCGTATGAACAG